GAATGGTATGCTCCTTCATTCCTTTCTTCGAAGCTTCGTATCGTACGTATACTTCAGATACAGTACGTACGTATCGTATCCTTTCCAGTACGTACGTACKTACGTATCCATTGCATTGTCCCACACAGTGATATCGCTTGCAGTATCACTACTAAACAGTAGCAATCATATCTTCGGTATTTCCAGCAGGGGGCTCTTCTTCAGTGGCATTTGCATTTGCATTAGTTTCTTTGTGAGGAACAAGCTTTCTGATGTTKACTGTCTCACGTACGTTGTCACTTCTTTGCAGAACCATAGTCCCATTAGTATTGATCTCCACAATGGGATAAGGACCATGTAATCTTTGGGACAGCTTATCTGGTTCATAGTGTTTCATGTAAGCCTGCTGCCCGACCTGATATTTGAAGGGTATTCTCCGAGCATTTTCTCTCCTAAGGTTCTCGTTGATTTGGTGTTGTCTTTTATCTCTGATAAGGTTCAAATCAGCAAYGAGAGGAATGTCCATCACCATATCTCTGTTGTAAACCAAAGCTCCTGGTGAGGTCTTCACTGCTGCATTCACGGCACATCTGGTAGCATGCATTGCAGAAGTATCCATTGCAGCCAGCTTCACCTTCCTTTCAATATTCTGTTGGCTTGTTGCTGAAATATTGGTGACACACAGAAATGTTTTTGACGACAAAAGAGTAAGCATCAAAATATTCTTTCTTGGTTGTTGTTGTAACATCATTCTTGCTTCCTCCAAGAAATTCCCCTTAATGATTCATATGAAAGGAGGTTCTCCCTACTACAGAGATTTGAGTACCAAGACATGTATTTGTCAGGCAATAACAGTTGCCATTGCAGCAATGGAAGCTATTGATTTAACCACTGGTGGTGCAATCTCTCAGCCATTACTACCCCCTTCACCACACCACCAGCTGTGTCTGTGAGGACATTAATTCCAACAACTATGGGTCCTTTCCCAAAAAGCACTGTTTCTTTCCCAAGACCTCTTGATTCATCTGCTTTGTTGGCATAATGGCCAAAAATAGAAATGTTCAAAAACATTTTGGAAACAAAAATGTGTTGGCTGAACCTCGGGTGTTCCCAAGGAGATCAAGCAATATGATGCAATTGGTGACTAGGAGGGAAGACTTGCCATCAGGCTTAGTAGTAGACTATGCCAAAGCAATGGTAAGAATATATCCCCTCTGATCTGCTTTTGTCATCCAAGCTCCAACCAAGGCCTGTGCTACTGCAAAAAAATGCCATGCTTCTTAGCAATTTCACAAAGCTGAGAAAGAGAAGTTACCAGAAAGACTAAATATGACCCCCCCCCCCCTACACACACACACACACACAGGAGATAGAAAAGGACGAGGCCAAAATGAAGCACATCAACAAACAATGGACAGAATGCTCGTCTTATAACAATAGAGAGGACCATGTTTGGAAGTGAGAGGTCATCATAACCTCTATGAAGGCATTACCAAATTGAGAAAACATGTTCTCAAAAAATGGAATAAAAATAGAAATTTGATTTACTATTCTTCAATGAAAATATAACGGTAGGACCAGAAAATTTGAGGGTTATGACTGTGAAAAATGCAAATAGTGCCCAATCTGGTTTGTGTGACAAAAATGTATTKGAGAGGACAGGGAATCTTCTTGCTCTCTTCACCAGAATATGTTTGTGTGACAAAAATGCATTGGAGAGGACAGGGAATCTTACTCACTTCACCAGAATATAATGCTGCCAACAGGATGAATCTAGGTTGAGAAGTATTAGATTTTCTGGGTCTTACCCAATTGAAGTTCTTCAAGAATATGCAGAAGTACCATCTGTAGGGGAACACCTTTGATTCCACCAACAATCTCCCCAAACTGCATGCACTGTCATCAGCTTGGCTGTAATCTACACTAAATGCAATACTCCTTGAGATGGGTTACAGTTCTTTTGTTCACAACCTGTCGTGGAATTACCTGCCACTAGTAGATGTACCCTCATGATCAAGGATAGGAATGATTCAGTCATAACAACGAGAAGAAGACTTGCCTTTCTTTTGGGATGTAATCTACAGGAACAGCTCACTCACAGGCAGCAAATGGCACAGCAGCAACAAAAACAGCAAACAAATGAGCAAAGATTACAGTCACAACAACAACAGGCATCACAATGACAGACACCAGGACATAGTGCACAATTTCTACTAGCTGTACCAGCTGTAGTAGACAAGAATCACCAGCATCACCATCACCACCACCAATTATTGATGAGGCTGCACTCAATGAAAGAATCAAGAGCATTCAAAAGGAAATGGACAATTTTTGAAAAACCAAGGGGCCACCCAAAAGTGATATACATATTTATGCCATCATCTAATAGTTAACATATTAGCAGCATCCCATATAGATGTTAATTGTAGGCTGAATTGATTCCCCAGCACTAAATTGATCTGTTGTTTTGCAGTGGTAGTATTAGCACCAGTCAACATTGCCAGTTGAGCTTCATTTTGAGTTGGTTTCAGTGGGTTGGCGTTGACAGCAGTTTTTGGATATCTTGAGTGCAATTGCCTCCAGTATCAGTATGGTCTGTTCGACAATGATTTTCTGAACCACTGGGTTAATTGATCTGCAACGTCTGGGGCTGTTCGGACTTGGTATAATGAAGGGGATGGTGATTGCTTCTTTCAAGCTCCTTGTTGTATCGTCTACTTCTAGGGAAGTAAAGGGCTCCTAACCAGATATTGATGAAAATGACATTGGCTGATCAATAATTGCAATTATTATTGCAGTTGCTGACAGAGGAGTCAGTATCTAACAAATCACCCCCAAGTACAATGAACAAGATGAGTTTGTAATGACACAGTAAACTGAATTCCAGCACACCACCGCACCAAGAATGATGAAGGGAAATAGTTATCTCATAAGTGGAAGTATCACAACTTTCGCAGTAAGTTTTGACATGACTGCTGAAAGTTGCACACTGTTCAAACTAGTACTGTACTATCATCCTACTAGTACTAATAGATTAGTTATGGATTTCATTTCGAATCCACTCCAAAAGCCTTTGATTAGGGTAAGTAGTGGTATGTTCAGTTGGAAAACTCAAGTTAAAATCTATGTAAGCACGGCAGCGATCGTATCAGCGGATTATATATCTATTTCAATTGTCATGATTGTCAAACGATCTGACGAGGGGAACCATGTATTCGTGTTTGTCTAATTTTATGAATGGAAAAAGGTTTTGCTTGATCCCGTCAGTTTGCCTTTCGTGCCACCACAATTTTTTCTCATCTTCGACCCGTCCCTCTCCCAGACCCTCTCTTAAATCCAGTACGGCCCCGACCTCTTCCATAGCTCCGAGTTCCACGCCCTCGTCCTCCCAATCGTACAGGAGCAAGACCAGTAACCTTTTCTGCCTCGATGGCGGCAACCTCGGACTCGGCAGCGACAATCTCCATCGCCGTAGCCTTTTTCGAGGCCTTGAGATCTTCAACCTTTTTGCGAGCCCGCTGCAGCTTTTCGTCCTTCGATGTTTTTTGTTGCGCAGCTTCTTCTTGAATCGATCGCTCCACACATTCTCGACATCTGCTTTTTCCTTCTGCTTTCGACCATTGATTCCGATTGTAGCAATCCTTCGATAGAATCTGTTGACACTTCCCTGCACATTTTCGTTTCTCCTCCAAATCACCATTTTTGTCATCGTTTTTCGCACCATTGTCACTGGCACCCCTTGCCTTTGCTTCCGCCCGTTTATCTTGTTCCTGTTTGGCCGTGCATTGTTTGCACCTGAGAGGCTGTCCCGTCTTTCGGTGTTTTTCTATGGCTGATTTGGAGAATTCATCCGCCATCAGCCGCTTACGGCGGCAAACACCGCAGTCAAAGTTTCCAGCCCATTTGGATGTTACAACAGGAGTCGACATAGTTGAATGTAATTGAATCAAACTATGGATGTGATTATGCCAAAACGGAGATGTCAAAATTTCGGACAGAAAAACATACTGCCCGTTGCCATTACAGTACGTACTTAAAGGGATGTTTACATAGTAAAGAGTGAGCGTGGTGATTGTTCACTCACTATCTACTCGTGATTTACGTGTTACTGGCTCACACGTACGTGCCGGTAGGCTCTGTTTTTTCCCCCTTCAGCAACTCTGGAGACAAACCCATCGCAAAACAGTAATAGGTCAAAAGCATTAATACTCCAACCCTTGAACCCCAAACCATTCCACATTTTACAATGTGATCAGTCAAATCCTAATTTTGGTAAACACTTAGAAAGTCGGAATAACTGACCAGCACTTCTTTTTAGATCCATACAACAATACTATCAGACTACTGCTACTAGTAAGGTAGGACTACTACAAACATGATACTCCTTTACCATAGTAGTAGTAGTAGTACTAGGCCTGGTGGAGTCGTGTCCTGTGGCACCAGTCAAAGATCAATAACAGAAGAAGGAAAGACAAGGCTACAATAACTCAGGCTAAGAGCAGTTAAGAACAACTGCACTTACTACTAGTAGCTATAAGGTATGATCAACAAAGAAGAATGGAGAGAAAGAAATCATACTACTACTAGTAGTAGTACCAATTGCGTAGTACATACAGCACCTTGCTACTATTTGTTGACTTAGTAGTAGTAGTAATGAAAGCAATAATTGGTTGGCTAACACAAGGAAGTACTTTACTTGCTACAGTGCAAAAGATAAGTGAGTGCAAAGGTGGAAAATATAAATTAATTTAGAAACAAACAAACAAAACAACTTTGGCTGTTTGTTATTTGTTCTAAAATGGGAATGATGGAGTTCATTGATTTGTTATCTGGTTGTGGTGATCATTGTTGTTGACAATGTTTTGTTTTTGGAGAAGAGAAGAGGCGTTCTTCTTTCAAACATACCACCAGTGGAATTTTGTGGTGTAGTAGTAGTATTTGTGGTAGTAAGAACTTATGAAAGCACAACATAAATCCAACAATTGCTTGTGTAAGAGCAGGCTGGTGAAACCAATGTTGTCCGTAGGATATCAGACCGTGGGTATGATTCATACATA